ATAATTTTATTATACTTCAAATCCAAAATTTGCGATTGTTTGCAATAACGATAGCCAATCAAACTATACGTTTCGAATGAGGAAATATTTACCCTCTTTAGACTTATCCGAATCAATCCGATGCAATCCGTAAGCATGTAAGTTTATTTTTGTAGTTGGATTTGTAACATTGATTACAATATTAACTATAGCGGGGTCTGTATTACTCTGCTTATATATTTTAAAATATATGTTATATTTAATTGGCCATAAATTATCAACCGGCAAACGGTCGTCAAGTGAAATATATGAACAATTGTGTTCTATCAACTTTAGGTATTGATCACTATCGGTAACAATAGATGGCAGATGAGGCGGCGCATATCGAAATGTAGCTTAATAATAATAGTATTAGAGATAGTAATAATAGTATTAGAGATTCCATGTAAATGTTTCGCAAATATATATATGTACCTGTATGGGCAAGTTATTTGTTAACAGAACGAAATATTGGTTAACATTAAGTTTTAATATTAGGCCATTATTACTTAATATTGTGATTTACTGTTGATGTCACAATATACGAATAGTAATAACGGATATACGTTAAATGTTTCTTACCTAAATTGATATATTCTCCGTATTTGCTATTTCTACTTTTAGTGCTTGTTGTCTATTTTTGTACGCGGAATAAACTTCCGATATTACGATCCACTTGCTAAATGGAAAAAAAGTAAACAAAACCAAGCAGTAATACATTTCGAGAAACATAATTGATTAAATGCAATGAAATTTGCAAATAATTATTATATAAATTATTGTTGGATTACTGAGCAATATTGATATGAGGAATATCACATTTCGCATACTACTTTGAAAAATTTTTTGAATATACAATATTTATGAATTATGACAACGTATCATGAAGATGAACAAGAAAAATTGCTTTAAGAATTTAGAAAGTAAAACAAAAAACTTTACTGTTGTATATACATATAAATTATAATAGTAATAAATAAATAAAGCTTTACATATATGACAAAGTTCGATATAATAATATTAAAATTAATATTTTATAAAACAGAAATAAACAAAATTTAATAATTAAACATGTATAAGAAATATGTTCAACATAAATTGTTTTTATGCTCAGCAAGTTAGGAAAATCTAAGCGTAAATCTAACAACAGAAGAATATATCTACTTACAATTGTTATATATTTCCTTCGATTTTGTGAATCGCAACAAACTGACAATTAAGGACATATGTTGTACTATTATATTTAAGACACACATGTCTGATGTTGCTGTTAATGCTCTGTTATGGCATACGAGAAGTGTCCTCAAGTCAGACGATTGTAAATATTGTGCTAAAGAGACTTAAGCTAACATTTAAATCAGTCTGAAATATAACGGATAAATTATATTTGTTAAATTACACAATTCATAGGAAAGAATATTCTATATATGAGAAGTCAACCCATAAAATGCGAAAATTGTCAGAGAATAAATTCGCCAAAATATCACAATTAACGAAATCATCAGTAATGATAAAACAATTTTTGACAACTATGCACTTGTCGTAATAGTCTAAACATGCACTTGTCGTAATAGTCTAAACATGAAAAATATCTAATACTTTTTATAAGTGTGGAAAGAAATGTATTAGGTGTATGTAAGATAAAGATTATAGACATTTTTTTCCTTTTTTAATATTTATTTGTTTATCATGCAATATAGTGACCACAAATCAATCTGAAAACTATTTTCCCTCATTTTCTATAACCTTCTACCACATTTCTCTAACCTTTCGGACAACTGCAGAACTCGTTCACCAAAGAAAGATATACATTTGGGAGCAATAAAATTATCAAGCGATTTTCGTATTTCTGCCATCTCGAAAGCGTTGTTCTGCTAAGGAATGCTGCCGGAAATTGACCGGAATAAGTAATGATGTAACAGCACCAAGTCAGGAAAGTATGTCGCATATGGAAGAATTTCCCAACCCAAGTTAATGATTTGACGATTGATGAGACATGAGCTTATCGAAAATGATTAAGAAGCGATTGCCTCTCAAGGCCATCGCACATAGAAAATCTGTAACCGTAACTGTAATGTCGTAAGAAAACTGACCAATCACAATAAACTATTCTTCTAGTGCAAGGAGATATTATATATAGTCATATATAACTTTTTTTCTCGAGATAACTGTAATATGCTAATAAAATTTTATAAGACGGTTATATTATATTAGTTAAAAGTTATACAAACTGTCCCATAACTCATTACGAGGAATTCGCGAAGATATAGTGTAGATTGAGACAAATATATAAGTGTCATATCATTGTTTTGCAATAATTATTGAGTTATTAATGATAAAAATTTGACAAGTGAGCGTGCGTCGAGGTAAATGATTAGAGAAGCGTCGCAGCTGTTCGGACTATAACGCGGCTCAGTCGAACCAACAACTGTTGGCAGAACGAGGCGAGACGTAGAAGCCGCGAGATAAAACACGAATAGCGACGCGTTGTCCTTCCTCTCGCCATGAAGCGGCAACAGTTGCTCGATCGACTGCGCCGAACTGTAGACCGAACGGCTACGACGCTTCTCCAATTATCCATCTCGGTGTATGCTCGCTCAACAGATTTATGTAATTAATAACTCGATAATTATCGTGAATGTCACAAAACGGTATGGGACTTTTATGTTTTTCTTAATCCGCTCCACGAGTTTTGTAACAATTGTTATGAGATATCCTGTATATGTCTGTATAAATAGAAAATAATGATTACATTGTGCTACGTCCTGGAGGAGGAGCACAACTCGCACTTGCGAGCCCCGCACGTACTTGCGTATGCGCGATACAGGTCAAGGACCAGAAGGGTCCGTTTACTCCGATCGCGACGTAGGTGGTCCACTTTTAGGTCAGAGAACTAAATCTCTGATAAATATATAGAAAAGCGACCCCCATATAGTTGTATCAGGAAGTCACTCAGAATTTCATCTTTTATAATATATTTCAAAATGAAAAAATTCGGTGAGGTATACCCTTTTCTATATATTGTATTTACTAAATCTCTTTACCTGGGATTGGACCGCGAGTTGATAGTTGGAATTGGGGTATGAATTGGAAAGGAGGGAATTTTATAATTTAAATTATAAAATAAAACTAATATAAATTAAAAAAATTGACAACACATTTTATTTAGGTGGATTTTAGAACAAATTTAAAACAATGTTAACTGAATATTGCCAGAATGATGTTTGTACAGTAATTTCGCCTTGTTAATATAAAATTATACATATTATGATAGACGGTCAGCAACATATATGCTATATAATGATTATGCGCAAAACTTTGAAAGGAGGAAATGGAAAAGAAAATGAATAATATCTAATCTGGTAAGGAAAAATGAGAACATTCCGGTGAGTTGAGGGGAGTGGTAAATTGAGAGAGAGAGAGAGATAGAAGAATAAGATATAGATAGACTGAGAGAGCTTGTGGAAGAGCGTGGAGGAGTATTCAGGGAAAAATTTAAGGGGTACGGGAAGATGGATGGTGGAATGAACGGGAGTGATGGGTCTGGATGATAATTGGTTTCAAAAACAATATTAATTAATGCTCGAAGATATTGGCCAGATGATTCAAGAGACTATAGAGGTCGTCCGATTCAAAGAGCAAATCTAGCGAGTCGAGTGACTGATAATCACGTAGGATTTGACATCATAGCCCACTGCAACGAATTTTGAGATAAAAATGAAAAGGATGCAAATGAGGGAGTTCGATTTAGGAGAGAAAACAATGTGTGAGTAACTTACTGTTTCTTAAAGATGAAGTCTGTCTTAGTGAAAAAAGAAGCGGCATGCCCTGGATAGGGAAACTGTTCCAATCTATGTTTTGTGTAGGAGGTTGGCCTTTTACCCTGATGCCGGCGGGGCTGAATTTCGAGTACTTAACTGCACTAGTTTTGAATTACAAGTATGAACAGAAAATTAAAAGTTGAGAAGTTGCGAGATGGAGGTTTCGATCCTTTTAGCTCGCGAGACTGTCGAGAAATGAAGTAACCTTCTGGTTTTTCTCAAATCGTTAGTTCGGTTGAGAGAGTGGGGTTTTAGAAGTTGCGTCGGAGATCTAAGGTTTATATCCAAATATAGTCATAGGACTTTGTTGCAAAAATTTTTGGAGGTGGAGTTTTAAGGATGCGTCACAGTATATCAAGGATAAATATTGTAGAAGATGGAGTACATATGGCAATAAAAAGATTTCAAAGTTTCGTTAGGTTTAGTTAGAGTTGGCGCGTAATAAAATTTATGAAGGGATGTGGAAAAGGCATAAGTTCTTGAGGATCAAAGACTATTCGTGTCATGTAACAATATGAGAGATTGACTGGTCGGTTTGTCTTCAAAGAAAATTGTTGCTCCGAAAGAGGAAGTTATTAAAAGATATTTGGAAGGGAAAACGTCTGGCTAATAACTCAACGAATCTTTCTGACAAAAATAGAGAAACTCGACGATTATAGACAGAAAAAAAGAGAAATCGGTGTATGACGTGTTCTCTCGTCCCACCGTGCTCGAAGAGTCGCGAAAACATGTTCGTTATGAACATTTCGAGTATGAACATTTGAACATATAGTGAGTAATATAAAATTAATTCGCTTTACTTATAAAAAGAATTTAGAGTACGCGGAATCCGCAGGACGTAACAATTGTAAATACATGTATATTACACAGATAATTACATAACTATAGATGCATAATTATATACAGTGCAATACATAATACGTGTGTACAAATATATAAGCAGACAAATATAGGAATAATGTAATAATAAAATGTAATGAAAATGTAATGATGAAAAAAATATATCACAACTTTAACACAGATGTCTCAATTTACTACGTATTTCCAATAGCCTTCATTTCTTTATTATACGAATTGTTATTCGAATTTTATCACATAACTTTTTTTTATAACATAAAATTTTTATATATTTTATTTTATAACATAAACTCACTGGTTGTACGTTTCTTTTTTTATTTAAAATTTCGAAATCTCAAGTTGTATTCTGTTAATTCTTTCCTTTTGAATTTGCATTATTGTAAATATGTCATGCATATTTATGTTTAATTTGTAGCACTGATTATATGCAAACTCCGCAATCTGAAACAGGTCAATCATATTTATATTCAGTCAATATATTTATATTCATAATTTCGAACATTGACGAAAAGTAAATGATCATATATATTGTGTATTTGAAAACGAAATGGAAATTTATTAAAAAATATTAAACGCTATACAAAGAAGGTAGAAAATACACACCATATTGATATGTTCAATGGTATATACATTCATGAACATATCGCCCAACAGATTTAAATTTAACCAATTTAAAGGAACGTTTCTCCACCTATAAATTAGAAACGATTAAATTAATAGTTAATAGATATACTATACTCTTTTGCGATTAGTCCTAAAGACTTATAACAGAAACAATCACCAGTGTATTTCAAAATAATTTTCTATGATGTATTTCAGAACATCATACTTTCCTACATGTTTCCTTATAAGAACATGATAAAGTTCATATTTAAATTCAAAATTTTGAAATCCAACTGACATTAATTTCATATATTTTATGTTAATTTGTGCATTTTCCGAGCAATACACATATTTCAAAATATCTATATCTGTGGTATTTGTGTATCTTTCAAGCAGTATATCCAATACAGTTTCGTTCGCCGTCATCATGCCGGCACAATATATCCAATTCTTCCACCATGGTATAATTCTACGGCGTACGAGAAATATCAACTATTAGCAAAGGTTTCGATTATATGACCGATCAAATACTTAACGCAGATAACAAAGAAACATATTTATGAAGTTTAGTATTGTGTAAAGATTTACTTGTTATCTTCAGGATTTAACAGATGACCAAGCAATTTCGTCCTGGCAGTTAATTGACATTTCATATCCCCTAACTTACAAGCCCATCTTGTTGCTAATAATCTCAGTGTTTTATACATATTGTCCTCATAACTGTTTTCTTCGTATCCTAAATTTTGAAGTAACTCTTCCAATATTTCACGTATCTGTATCTAATACACGTCAAAAGTGTTGCGTTTATTGGGAACTGATCTTTATAACTATGTATGTATAATGAAATACATGCATAATATAAAAATATGCAAGACAGAGAAAATGTTAAATACAGAAGTTCTAGGGATTTAAATGGCGCACTATTATTTACCATTATTACTATTATGTTTACTATTGTTAGTACTACTAGTATTACCACTACGATTTAATAGTACGATTATTAGATAGTAGTTGAATAATGTCGTCAAAGTTATAGAAAGGTTACCTTGAATTTTTTTAATATGATAGAAACTCCCATTTTTCATTATACTATTCTTTTCTTTTAATTAACAAATTAATTTGGACAACTTTATCTGAAACATTTTTTTATTTGCCTAATATTTTTTGAGATTAGAAATTTCCAAAAACCGAGTTAACAAAATTTAAGTCACTATTGTAACAGCATATTCTTGAAACCAAATAGAATAACTTTAGTATCACTTTTTCTTCAGACGAATACTTATCGAGATATCGTAAGCTAAATATTTAAAAAATTAACAAAGGTAAATATCCCAGTAAGAAATGATTCGTCGATCGATTTTACGATTCCGACGTCGATTCGACATCATTTCGACATTGATCGACGAATCATTTCTCACTGGGATGCACATAAGGTCACCTCCTCAAAACTCCATGATCTCGACATGTTTTGTTAAGGACATGTATCTCAATGTTATGCAACAAGTTGCAGCTATCGCTCATTGTTCATTAAAAAGTTATTAACAAAAGAAATTTCGGTAATTATGCATATTAAAGAACACCTTGGCGATGATCTTGAACTTCATATATTCATAAGTTATCACGGACATGAACCTGAGTAACTCACAGAAGGTTTCAGTCGGCGGTCACTGTTTATTAAATAGTTATTAGTAAAAGATATTTCAGTAATCAAGCATAATTTTTTGACACAGGGTACATTTAACACCTAAAACTTGCAGGAGGTTACTTTGGAACATAGTACATATAAGCGGAGCAAAGCCTGCCTCTCTTCCCCGTACCTCTTCTCAAGAAAAGCCTAAGCTAACATAAATTATTGTGTCTTTATATATTGTTGGGCGTGAATTTTAAACATTTTAATCTTTTCAACGCCCAACAGCATATAAAGATGCAATAAGTTAGATTAGGTTAGGATTTCTTGGAAACGGGGTATGTAAGAGGAATGGAGCCCCTCGCCCGTTTATATGTACTGTTTAACATTTCTTAATGTATATTCGAGATTTCATATATATTCAAGATGTATTATCCGATCACGAATAAAATTTTATAATAGTTAAATATGTACACGTTCGAAAATTACATATTATATACATTCCATACATTATATACATTACATACATTATATATTGAATTTACATTTACATTATATATTTACATTATATATACTTGAAACAAAATGCAATAACCCAGAACTGTTTTACACTCTAAAGAAGAGCTGGAGACGATCTGCACATTTCGGGCGGAATTCAAGAGGTGACACCCACCGTCACCCTGCCACTGCTCCGCGCTCGGCGGCCGAGACGACGATCGCGGTGTGTTCAAATCCGTCGTTATACAGGGTGTTTGAAAGCTTATCATACATGCCATTCAACTTCTTTCGTTAATAACTTTTCAGTGAACAATGAGCGGCAGTTGCAACTTTTTACATACCATTCAGGAGCATGTTCTTAACAACATATGTCAAGGTCATGTATTTTAAGAAGATTGACTTTACGTTCATATTTAACCATTTTTTTTATCTCGTATATTTTCAAAGTTATTCAGATCGTACTATTTTTCCCTTCACCCTGTATATTTGAACATACATGCTACATATATTTATTATAAAAAATATTTTACTTCCTAATACTTTTTTGGAATAGTCCATCTTGAATACTATAATGCTTTTTCGTACCCAGAGTGGACTACGCGTCCTCTAATTAACTTGTTTAACAAAATTCAATATCACCTACTTTCATATATCTCGCTTTCGGGCTATTCCAAATGTGCGACATGTACGATAGAATATTAAACATCGGATACCAGGCTATATAACTTGTCGAGCGACGCAGATATCTTGCGATTTCCCAAAACGTGAACGGTGACATGTTGCTTTGTGTCACTTGATAATACACGTCATTAATCAATTGCGCACGATTGAGGACATGCACCTTATCATATGCATCATAGTTCAAGAAATTTGCAATTCGTATCCAAGTATTTTCATCATAATTAACGCGATAGTATCCTGCTGTAAATTAAATAATCATTATTTTATTGCTGTTAGGAATTTATATTTGTGTTTGCCAAAAAATGCTATCAGCAAACTTGAAACAAAATGCAATAACCCAGAACTGTTTTACACTCTAAAGAAGAGCTGGAGACGATCTGCACATTTCGGGCGGAATTCAAGAGGTGACTGACACCCACCGTCACCCTGCCACTGTTCCGCGCTCGGCGGCCGAGACGACGATCGCGGTGCGTTCAAATCCGTCGTTATACAGGGTGTTTGAAAGCTTATCATACAGACGAAAGTTGGAGATAGATTGGGTGTAGTCGAGAAGAAATGTCATGTATTATAATGTCAAATTGGCAATAGTTATCGAGTTATTAATTGAAACATGTGAGCCATTGAGCGCGTAGAGAGCGCGGGCGGCCGCCTCTTATCGCTTGCGCTCACTCGCCCATCGTTCGCGCTCGCTCGCTCTTCGTCGCGCGCGCTCGTCTCTTGTCTTGTCGCTTACGGTTGCCCCTCGCCGCGCGCGCTCGCCTATCGACGCTCGTTGACTCCGCCTATACCAAATGTCTACGTACTTACCGCGGCCGCCAAGCGCTCTCTACGCGTTCATTGGCTCACATGTTTCAGTTAATAACTCGATAACTATTGTCAATTTGACATTATGGTACATGACTTTTTTTCTCGGCTACACCCAGTCTATCTCCAACTTTCGTCTGTATGATAAGCTTTCAAATACCCTGTATAGAAAATCAGGTAGAACGCACCCTCGCATCATATTATCATTACAATTTTTTCCTCGTTTAATAATCACTTTAAAATATATATGTTTATGCGATATTTATATATATATACAGGGTGGGGGGTTATAAGTTTACAACCCGAAGTGTGAAGGTAGATTGGGTTAAGACAAACATAAAAGTCCCATATTGTTTTGCGAGATTCACAATAATTATCGAGTTATTAATGACAGAAATATGAGGAATGGGAGCGCGTCGACATAGATGATTGGAGCAACGTTGCAGCTACTCAGGCCACAGCGCGGCCCACTCGACCCAGCAACTATTGGCGGCGTGCGGCGAGACGTAGGTCCGGCGAGATAAAACAACGAATAGCGGCGCATTGTCTTTCCCCTCGACGCGCACCAGCAACAGTTGCTGGATCGACTGGGCCGCGCTGTGGCCTGAGTAGCTGCAACGCTTCTCCAATCATCTATGTCGGCGCGCTCCCATTCCTCAGATTTCTGTCATTAATAACTCTATAATTATTGCGAATCTCGCAAAACGGTATGGGACTTTTATGTTTGTCTTAACCTAATCTACCTTCAAACTTCGGGTTGTAAACTTATAACCCCCCACCCTGTATATGTATACATATACTACTGTGATAAAAGAATAAGGTGAATTTTTCATTTAAACTTCGCGGGTACTATAAAATCATGAAATTATTGTTGGGTGGGTTGGTAGCACTGTCTTTGACATCTATGCAGAGTTTTATGTCAATATATTCAATTGCTGCAGAGCTATACGTGTTTTTGTAAACATACAAAAGTGAGTTTTTCGACTTTTACTATGTCTGATTTTGTTGAGTAAAGAATTTGCATTAAATTTTGTTTGCGGAATGAATATTCTGCCGCGGAAACGTTGAGGATGTTGCAGAAGGCCTTTGGTGATAAGGCTATGTCGCAAAGAAATGTTTACAAGTGGTACAAAGACTTCAAAGAAGGCCGAGAATGAATTCAAGACGAACAGCGGCCCGGACGACCATTAACATCTACCGATGAAAGCCACGTTAAGGAAATCAAAGATTTGCTGTTCGAAAATCGTCACTTGACAATTAGAGACCTTGCTGATGCTGCGGGCATTTCATTTGGATCCACCCAAACCATTTTAAAAGATGTTTTGTGCCTCAAACGCGTCAAATCTTGATTGGTTCCAAAAACACCGTCCCACATTGCATTGGTTCTTCAAGAACATTTCGCCAAAAATTCGATCCATATCGTTCTGCAACCACCATATTCGCCTGATTTAGTACCGTGCGACTTTTGACTGTTCAACAAACTCAAAAGACCACTCCGGGGACCGTTTCGACTCGATTGAGGAGATAAAAGCCGAATCGAAGAAAGTATTGAAGGCCATCCCGGAAAAAGACTTCTCTGACTGTTTCGAGGATTGGAAAAAACGTTGGCATAAGTGCATTGTGTCGGACGGAGAGTACTTTGAAGGCAATGAAATTGATTTGGAAGAATCAATAAAGATTTTTCATTTTATAAACAAATTCACCTTATTTTTTGATCACAGTAGTATACAGGGTGTTTCGTTTTAAATGATATGGTCTATTATTTCGCGAATCGATATTATTGAAAAATTTTTCGAACGAGTTCGAACGAAAGTTGCATGGCTCGAAGGGAGACACATAATTGAAATATGGACTTGACCTTGAATGACCTTGTCAAAATCAGATCAAGGTCATTAATGTTTTTTTAAATGGAAATCCCTATTTTTTATTACATATTCTTATAGCTTATCTCGAGAGCTTTCCGAAATACTTTAATAAAGTTACGTTTCATTGAGTACTTTCCGAGTTATGAGGCTTGAAAGTTAAGGCAAGACCGATCACTGATCCGGCCAATTAAGGTAAGACTTATCAATGACTAAAGACATATTCGAATTGATCTTGCCTTAGTTGGCCGGATTAGTGATCGGTCTTGCGTTAGTTGGCCGGATCAGTGATCGGTCTTGCATTAACTTTCAAGCCTCATAACTCGAAAAGTATTCAATAAAAAGTAACTTTATTAGAATGTTTTGGAAAGCTCTCGAGATAAGCTATAAGAATATGTAATAAAAAATAGGGACTTCCATTAAAAAAAAAACATTAATGACCTTGACCTGATTTGGACAAGGTCATTTAAGGTTAAGTCTATATTTCAATTATATGTCCCCCTTCAAGCCATGCAACTTTCGTTCGAAAAATTTTTCAATAAAATCATCGATTCTCGAGATAATCGACCATATCACTTAAAATGAAACACCCTTTATATATACAGTGCCTACCAAAAGTTGGGGCCACCTAAATAATTTTTGAACGGTTTAAAATATAGGATTGAAATTTATAAGGATTCAATGGGATCACAAAGTCTATTATTTAACCACAAAAATACCCACCTCCACCCCCCCGGGGGCCAGTGGGAGGGGGGAGCCGAAAAATCTCAAATGGCATGTTGGGTTGAGTGAGGGCTCGTTTGAAAGAGCTTTCCGAGACGAAAACAACGCGAGGTCGCCGAGGTCTCTACGATTATTTTTCGCAGAGTTATAATCATTTAAACATTAAGATTTTGCGAAGGCCCACAGCGACAACAGAAAAAAGGTCAGGCTTCACGCGGGCACGCCCGTTCCTGTGTGTGCGTGCGTGCGTGCGTGCGTGCGTGTGTGCGTGCGTGTGTGTGTGTGCGTGTTCGGCCAATTAAGGCAAGACCGCTAGTGTGTCCGGTCAACTAAGGCAAGACCGAGATAGGAACACTGGCGTATGTGAAGGAATAAAAACACTAATTATTTAATCAAATGTTTAAATTGTCCTTCGACAACTTGGCAGTGTCTTAAACGAATGTAAAACGTTTCAATTACGTTAGTTAAAAAATTGGGTGTGATTGAATTTGAAACGTTCACTATTTTTTCCCGCAGCTCTTCTAAATTTTCGGACCTAGTCTCATAGACCTTTGTTTTCAAAATTATTGAAATTTGCTAAGAAACCAAGTGATACAGGCTATTCAAGATATTGCTGAAGAAGCTTTCCACAATGTTTGGTTTCAGCAGGATAGGGCTCCAGCTCATTTTTCTCTGTTCGAAATATTCTAAACCATGTTTTTACTGATCGATGGATTGGTAGAAGAGGCACAATAGAATGGCCACCGAGATCACCAGATCTGACCCCATTAGACTACTTTTACTGGGGGTATTTGAAAACAAAGATCTATGAGACTAGGGCCGAAAATTTAGAAGAGCTGCGGGAAAAAATAGTGAACGTTTCAAATTCAATCACACCCGATTTTTTAACTAACGTAATTTAAACGTTTTACGCTCGTTTAAGACATTGCCAAGTTGTCGAAGGACATCAATTTGAACATTTGATTAAATAATTAGTGTTTTTATTCCTTCACATACGCCAGTGTTCCTATCTCGGTCTTAGTTGGCCGGACACGCTAGCGGTCTTGCCTTAGTTGGCCGAACACGCACACACACGCACACACACACACGCACGCACACACGTACGCACGCACGCACGCACGCACGCACGCATGCACGCACGCACGCATGCACGCACGCACGCACACACAGGAACGCGCGTGCTCGCGTGAAGCCTGACCTTTCTTCTGTTGTCGCTGTGGGCCCTCGCAAAATCTCAATGTTTAAATAATCATAACTCTGCGAAAAAAAATCGTAGAGACCTCGGCGACCTCGCGTTGTTTTCGTCTCGGAAAGCCCTTTCGAACGAGCCCTCACTCAACCCAACATGCCATTTGAGATTTTTTGGCTCTCCACTCCCTCCGGCCCCCGGGGGTGTGGAGGTGGGTGTTTTTGTGGTTAAATAATAGACTTTGTGATCCCATTGAATCCTTATAAATTTCAATCCTATATTTCAAACCGTTCAAAAATTATTTAGGTGGCCCCGAACTTTTGGTAGGCACTCTATATATACAGGATGTCCCATTTTAATGCCCCACCCCAAATAACTCTTCAGTGTTAAAGTTTCAAGAAAAATGATCTGAATAAAAGTTGTAGGGATTTAAGTAAGCAACTTTATAATGACCTTGACTTTGACCTTGACTTCTATTTTCAACGTCATTTGAAGGTCAACTTGCGTTTTTAAATGGGAACCCATATTTTTTATTACAATACTAGTATTTTTCTACTAATTAATTTGAACAACTTTTCTAAAACATTTTTTATTTGTCTAATATTTTTTGAGATATTTGAGGAAAACTTGATAACTTTTTCAATATTTAACTTACGATATCTCGCTATTTGTCGGAACAAAAAGTGGTACTAGACTCTCTTGCTTTATTTAGTTTCAAGAATATATTGTTACAATAGCGCCCTGATTTTTGTTAATTTGATGATTTTGAAATTTCCAAAAATCAGTAAGTTAACAAAAGTCAAGGCGCTATTGTAACAATATGTTCTAGAAACTAAATAAAGCAAGAAAGTCTAGTACCACTTTTTGTTCCGACAAATAGCGAGATATCGTAAGTTAAATATTGAAAAAGTTATCAAGTTTTCCTCAAATATCTCAAAAAATATTAGACAAATATAAAATGTTTTAGACAAAAGTTGTTCAAATTAACTAGTAGAAAAAAACTAGTAGTGTAATAAAAAATAAGGGTTTCCATTTAAAAACGCAAGTTGACCTTCAAATGACGTTGAAAATAGAAGTCAAGGTCAAAGTCGAGGTCATCATAAAGTAACTTACTTAAATTTCTACAACTTTTATTCAGATCATTTTCCTTGAAACGTTAATAGTGAAGAGTTATTTGGGGTGGAGCATTAAAATAGGACATCCTGTATATATATCAGATATGTAAATATGAAACCGGAATTTTTGTATAAAAAATATACGTTTATTGTATGAAAATGATAAAAAATATTTTATTCGAAGTATTGCCCATCGCTAGCTGTACATTTTTCCCACCTGTCTGACAATTTGTGGATGCCACGCCAAAAAAGCTGTTGCTCTTTTGAGGCAAACCAGTCATCGAGCCATTTTCGTACATTTTCGTAAGAAGTGAGCGCTGCTCAGCAAGTGCGTGTCCCATCGATGCAAGTAAGTAGTAATCGGACGGAGCCAAGTCTGGTGATAAGCCGCATGCGAAAGTATTTCCCAACTCAATCGTTTCCTTGACCAGTTTTGCTGTGTATGATGGTGCATTATCATGAAGCAAAATCACTTTGTGTTACCTTTTTTGATATTCTGGTCGTTTTTCACGCAAAGCTTGATTCAAATCGATCATTTGTTGTCGGTAGCGTTCAGTATTAACGGTTTCGCCAGGTTTTAGCAGCTCATAATAGATCACACACTTCTGACCCCACAAAACAGATCATTGTCTTCCGTCCATAGCGATTTGGCCTTGCAGTCGATGTCGATGGTTCGCCTGGAGTTACCCATGATCTTTTACGCTTGGGATTCTCAAAATATATCCATCGCCAGTCACAATTCGATGGAGAAATTACTTTCTTTTGTACCTGGCGAGCAGCATTTCGCAAGTGGTTTTTCGGTTTTCCTGCTGTCTTTCATTCAGTTCATGTGGAACCCATTTTTCCATCTTCTGGATCTTTCCCATCACTTTCAAACGTATGGAGACGGCTTCTCGTGTCAAATTTAATTGATCCGCGAGTTGTTGCGTTTGAGCGTCATCCTCATCCAACAATTCTTGCAATTCTCTGTCTTCAAACTTTTCAGTGGTCTTCCACGTTCTTCGTTTCTCACGTCAAAATCGCAACGTTTGAATTTTTTAAACCACTTAAAGCACTGTGATTTACCAAGAGCATGCTCACTGTAAGCTTCGACAAGCATTCGATGCGATTCTGTAGCAGTTTTCTTCAAATGATAACAGAAAATCAATGCTGTCCGCAAATCGAAGCTTCCAGGCACAAAATTCGACATGTTCAACGCTATTACAAACTATACTGTTGTATGAAACTTGTATTGTTGTGAGTTGAAAATCTTTGTCAAATGTCAACAAATGGAAATGGCGCCAATGACGCGATTTGACGGTAACTACATTGACAGTTAGGGCCATCTATGGGCAAATTCCGGTTTCATATTTACAGACCTGGTATATATATATATAAATATCGTAGAAACATATATATTTTAAAGTGATTATTAAACGAAGAAAAAATTTTAATGACAATATGACGCGAAGGTGAGCGCCAGTTGATTTTTTATAAAGCGACGGGTTTGAACGTACCGTGATCGTCGTCTTGCCCACTGAGCGCGGAGCAGTGGCAGAGTGACGATGGGTGTCACCTCTTGAATTTCGTCCGAAATATGCAGATCGTCTTCAGCTCTGCTCTAAAGTGACATCGTTATTGTCGGCGAATTTATTAGGTACCAATTTACCACTTTGAGAATTAAATATAACAACATCAGCATTCCTATCCAGTTCAATAATTCCAATTGAAGAATTAATTATCAAAATATTGTCTGCGACAAAATGACCAATAGAGAATGAACGAAATGTAAATGTTACTGGAACTTTCCAAGTGGAGTTTTCCATATCTAGAATTCCAGTAATATTATATGTCATTATATTCTTTTTACGATCACGAAGAACTTGCACAATAGGATAGTATTTTTTAGTTAACCACGTGTCCATAATTTCCTTTATTCTAAATTTTTGATTTTGTTTCTTCTCAAGCACATTTTGTAAGATGGTCCAGAAATCATCAGGAGTGGCTGAACGAAACTGACTATAAAAAAAAAAAATCAACATATATGTATGTGGGCCCTAGCGTTTACACGTGCACGTTTTGTCGTTAGTAATGTATAAATTTCGCAATATATGTACTGGACACATTTTTAATTAGCTGCGTGCTCATTTGAACTTTTTAACATAAATGCATAAATAATATACTAAAAAATCTGGTGTAATAAATACTCATATTAATCCCAATTAATAAAGACCTAAAGATATAAATATGAAAAAGTATCATTACTACAGTCCTACATATCCTATACAGTTTCTTTCTTGATAATATGAAATGATAATGAAACATGATTATATTACGATGTATTACTTACAATGTATTTAAATATTCTTTGACAGCTAGTTGAAATCTATCCCGCGTGATCATATGCTCTATCATGCGTAAAAGAGCGAATCCTACGAAAAAACATTATAATGTAGCCTAAAAAGTCTATGTAATTTAAATAGAATAATGATCAAGTCGTATTATCTATATATTATTCCTGTGCAGAGTATATAAATATGTTTTTTAAAGATTCAGTCAAACATTCACCTTTATTATAATACCAACGAGAACAGAGAACAACATCAATTTCATCCGTAGCCTGTATATTGTATTCAGAAAGGGCTTCCATTCTAAAGTTAGTTTCATAGTGAAGAGTTTGTTGGAAGATTTGGATATCATAAAGCTGTATTAATTCCAATTCAATACTAATGAAAATCTGGAAATAATTATTGTTGTAAAACAAATATGAAATGTAGACAAATGCACAAATTAACATAATGTTAATAAAGTACGACAAATGTCATATTCTAGTAAACACAAATAAATAACGGTTATATTATGATAATATAATAAGATAATATATAATCTGACACAAAATATATAATACGTAATATATAATATAACAAGTAAATCGCAAGCGAATTATAAAGATACGAATTACAAGCTCTGTGAAGCTGGCACCTCCAAATTCGAATTTTCATAAACCACAAGTAGCATTCGTTTGTCCACGATTTGTCCACATTTGTCCAACACAAATTTTCATTTGTCCACCTCTCAAAAAAAAGTTATGAACAAATAAAAATTTTGACACCAGCACCCCCATGAAAATTTTCTTCAATTTCAAAGCACCACTGGATTGTCCACGATTTGTCCACGTTTGTCCAACAAAAATTTTCATTCGTCCATCTTTCAAAAAAAAGTTATGAGCAAAAAAAATTTCGATATCAGCACCCCACGAAAAGATTTCTTCAATTTCGAAACATCGCTGGATTGTCCACGATTTGCCCACGTTTGTCCAACCAAAATTTTTGTTTGTTCCCCTTTAAAAAGAAAGTTATAAGCAAATTAAAAAATTGAAAGTATGCGGAAGAGGAAGCGCCCCAGATACGAATATATATAAAAATTCGCTGGGATTCGTTCGTCCACGATTTGCCCATATTAATCCAACTAAAATCTCCATTTGCCCACCTTGTAAAATATAGTTAAATAAAGAAAATAAGAAAAAGCAATTTGCTTACAAGAACACTTTTCTGAAAATTAAGCACTGCAATCGTTTGTCCACCCGTTGTTTTCGTTCGTCCATGCATTATTTTCGTTTGTCCACCCAAGGGAATCGAGTAATTAACAAAAAGAAATTAAAAAACTTGACTATAACCGTTCTATGTACATGTGTCAAGTTTTCTGTAGATTGAGGGTTGGAATCGTTTGTCCACCCGTTGCTTTCGTTTGTTCATGCATTATTTTCGTTTGTCCAAGGGAATCGAGTAATTAACAAAAGAAAGTTGAAATGCATGACGACAACCGCTCTATGTATTGTGATAAAGTTTTCTGTACATTGGGGTTTGGAATCATTTGTCCACCCGCTGCTTTCTTTTGTCGATACATTATTGTCGTTTGTCCACCCAAGGGAATCGAGTAATTAACAAGAAAAAGGTGGACAAACGAAAGCAGCGAGTGGACAACCGATTCCAACCCTCAATCTACAAAAAACTTAATACATGTACATAGAACGGTTATAGTCAAGTTTTTTAATTTTTTCTTTTATAATTACTCGATTTCCTTGGGTGGACAAACGACAATAATGCATGGACAAACGAAAGCAGCGGGTGGACAAACAATTCCAACCCTCAATCTACAGAAAACTTGACACATGTACATAGAACGGTTATAGTCAAGTTTTTTAATTTCTTTTTGTTAATTACTCGATTCCCTTGGGTGGACAAACGAAAATAATGCATGGACGAACGAAAACAACGGGTGGACAAACGATTGCAGTGCTTAATTTTCAGAAAAGTGTTCTTGTAAGCAAATTGCTTTTTCTTATTTTCTTTATTTAACTATATTTTACAAGGTGGGCAAATGGAGATTTTAGTTGGATTAATATGGGCAAATCGTGGACGAACGAATCCCAGCGAATTTTTATATATATTCGTATCTGGGGCGCTTCCTCTTCCGCATACTTTCAATTTTTTAATTTGCTTATAACTTTCTTTTTAAAGGGGAACAAACAAAAATTTTGGTTGGACAAACGTGGGCAAATCGTGGACAATCCAGCGATGTTTCGAAATTGAAGAAATCTTTTCGTGGGGGTGCTGATATCGAAATTTTTTTTGCTCATAACTTTTTTTTGAAAGATGGACGAATGAAAATTTTTGTTGGACAAACGTGGACAAATCGTGGACAATCCAGTGGTGCTTTGAAATTGAAGAAAATTTTCATGGGGGTGCTGGTGTCAAAATTTTTATTTGTTCATAACTTTTTTTTGAGAGGTGGACAAATGAAAATTTGTGTTGGACAAATGTGGACAAATCGTGGACAAACGAATGCTACTTGTGGTTTATGAAAATTCGAATTTGGGGGTGCCAGCTTCACAGAACTCGAATTACATGGTAGTGCATATATAGGGTGGCCCACATAACTCTTAACAGCTGAATATTTCGGAAACTATTTGTCGAATAAAAAGTTGTTCATGAGAAAGTTTTATGTATTCGAGGGGCCTTTCTAACTACATAAATATTAAGTTACTCCTTGCTCCCTTTAAAGGGGGATAGGAGATAACTTTGCAACTTCAAACCCCCTATAAAATGTTAGATGGTTGGGTTCTACGGTAAAAAAACAAGTAAATTTTGTTCAAAACATTTTTTAGTCAGATGTTTTTGTTAAAAGATATGACGGTGTAAAGTTTCGAAGCTACAGGAAACGTAAAAGCGTCGCGTATCCTTGTCTTTCGTCGGTATTTCAAACATAAACAAACATTCATACATTCATTGAGGTCAATTTAACTATTCATGAAAATCTTGTCAGTTGTATGTTACTATTTAAAAAGTTAGCACAGTGAAAAACATAGCTATCACTATGTTTGAGATAGAAGTGAATATGTTATTAGTATTAGCTGAATGCCAAAAGAATTATCGGCGTGCAGCAGTAATGTTTTTTGAATGTTATGGGATTAAAAAATCGCACGTGTCATTTTTTAATGTAGAAAAGCGGCTTCATTCGGTGAACATGGTAAATTGCGTATTACAACTCATAATAAATGTAAAAGTATTACTAATGAGAGAAACAGTACTTGTGCATGCATTGATGTTCTTGGTGCAATTACATTAAATCCTCATGTTAGTCAACGTGAACTTGCCAGAGCATCGGGTATCAGTCGTTTTTCAATTTAACGAAGTTTGAAAGAGAATAGATATCATCCATCTCACTTAATTCAATCACAAGAACTTTTGGTGACAGACTATGAACGCCGCATAACATTTTGTGAATGGATACATGATGCTATGAAAAATAATGACTTTCTGTACAAAATACTTTTTTCCGACGAGGCTACTTTTATGAATTCAAAGCATGTGAATAGACATAATATACATTATTTGGGCCGTTGAAAATCCTCATGGGATGCGATCAATTCCATTCGAACATCGGTGATCTTTAACTGTTTGATGCGGAATAATAGGAGACCTTGTGATTGGACTCTATTTTTTTTTTAAGAAACTGTAACGAGTAAAATTTATTGTAACTCATTACAAAACCATTTACCTGTGCTTTTGGAAAATGTGCCACTACACGTCAGAAGGGAAATGTGGTTTCAGCAAGACGGCGCTCCGCCATATTTTGCAAACATCCAACACCATGCAACATGCAACACCAAACAGTTGTTATACGAAAAATTTGGAGACAAGTGGGTAAGTTGTGGTGGACCTGTTCAATGGCCTCCTCAATCTCCCGATCTTACACTATTAGACTTTTTTTTGTGAGGATATATGAAGGAGGAAGTTATGTTTGAACATCTAACGACGAAAGAGAATATGAAGCACAGGATACACGCTTGCGCTTCAGTGACTTTCGAAATGTTAAAAAATGTTAGAAGTAATTTGTTGCTTCGAATAAATACATGTTTACAAGTCCATGGCGGACATTTTGAACATTTAATAAATTGAATAAATAAACAAACAGTGTGTTGTGATTTTGATTTCGTGTAGCTTCGAAACTTGCCGTCATATCTTTTAACAGAAACATCTGACAAAAAATGTTTTGAACAAAATTTACTTGTTTTTTTACCGTAGAACCCAACCGTCTAACATTTTATAGGGGGTCCCGTTTGAAATTGCGAAGTTATCTCCTGCCCCCCTTTAAAGGGAGCAGGGAGTAACTTAATATTTATGTAGTTAGAAAGGTCCCTCAAATACATAAAACTTTCTCATGAACAACATTTTGATTTGACAAATAGTTTCCGAAATATTCAGCTGTTAAGAGTTATGTGGGCCACTCTGTATATAAGTTACAATATTAGAATTACTTTCCCATTCACATAAAATTACAGTTATATAATATAAATGTAAAATATTACTAAAATATTACAGGACCGTTATCCCTACGAAAAGGTCTTATATTATAGTTAAGAGGTTTCAGAGAAATATTATATAATAGAAATATAAATTATATTTTTCTCAATGTGTGTAATTATAATTATATATGATGTTTAAAGGTAATACATAAGATCCGTCATATAAACGAAATCAAACTATTTATCATATTATGAGCTATTTGTTACGTTACGTTACATACTAGTTATATTTTATATTTAATGAAATATGTATATTATTGGAAAGCGTTTAGGATAATTTATAAACTTTTGCGATACCAATCATGTACCTTTAAATTTATAACTAATTCGCACACTAATAATGTTGATAGATATAACAACAACCTTGCTCATGATATAATGACTGTAGAGCTTCGAAAGTGATTCGCCTAACCATAGATCAGTCCACCAAGTCCCAGTAACCATTCCTACAAAGTGCTCACGTGTCATTCGATGCGAAATCAGCTGGCTTATATCATTCTTGCGGCCAGGGAAATCGTAATTTTCATTATATAGAACATCTTTTTCGCTGTAAATTTTGAATTAATATGATCATGTGATGACGATATGATTACGTATATTTTTAATATTTTATTGTTTACGTAAGAATATACAATTAATTTAAAGCTTCAAATATAACAAAACCCAATAAATGCAGAATAATAATAACACGACATCAATTTTATCATCTTATATCCCGCAATATAACAATCATGTGCTACACATGTTTTAGCGTACTTACACAATTGGACGGGAGGATAAAATATTGGTATAATGTTACAGTTATACTTTACTCATTATACTTTACTTATTAGATGCGCAGCCTATTGCGAAAGAATTTCTATATATTTTTATCAGTATTCTACATTAATCGAAATGAGTTCTTTTTTTTTTATTCAGCTATAATGTATCGCCATCGTGAGTATCGCTAGATTGATAGTACATAGACTCTTTTTAAGTTTCAATGGTATATACTATAGCACTTGAATTACAGGGTGTCTCAAAAATACTGGACCCCCGGATAACTTTGCAGGATCTAATTTTCATGAAAAACTTGAAATACAAAAGTTGTAGGAAATCGAGTAACGGACTTGATGGTGACCTTGAATTTAACCTTGGCTATGACCTTCAAGGTCATTTGGAAATCAACTTGAAAAATTTAAATAGGAACTCCTATTTTTATTACACTGTTTTTTTTACCAATTAATTTGAACAACTTTTGTCTAAAACATTTTTTATTTGCCTAATATTTTTTGAAATAATTGAGGAAAATTTGATAACTTTTTCAATATTTAACTTACGACATCTCGCTAACTATTTGACGGAAGGAAAAGTGGTATTAGACTTTCTTGCTTTATTTAATCTCAAGAATATATTGTTACAATAGCGCCCTGACTTTTGTTAACTTACTGACTTTTGGAAATTTCAAAATCTTTAAATTAAAAAAAATCACGGCACTATTGTAACAATATATTTTTGAGACTAAATAAAGCAAGAAAGTCTAATACCACTTTTTCTTCCGATAAATAGTTAGTGAGATATCGTAAGTTATTTATTGAAAAAGTTATCAAGTTTTCCTCAAATATTTAAAAAATATTAAGCAAACAAAAAAATGTTTTAGACGAAAGTTGTTCAAATTAATTGGTAGAAAATAAACAGTGTAATAAAAAATAGGGATTCCTATTTAAATTTTTCAAGTTGACCTCCAAATGACCTTGAAGATTATAGCCAAGGTCAAATTCAAGGTCACCATCAAGTCCGTTACTCGATTTCCTACAACTTTTGTATTTCAAGTTTTTCATGAAAATTAGATCCTGCAAAGTTATCCGGGGGGTCCGTTATTTTTGAGACACCCTGCATGTCATGTACCTGTACATTATAAGGCCAAAACATCCCACTGAGATTGTTGTGTTACTTGGAAATGATATGTGATCCCTCTTCAGCAATAGGTTATAGGATAAATCCGTAAGGAGCTTCGAGTACAAATAGACAAGTGCGACTGTTCTCAATGCATTTTGCATCATCTCCGTTTCCGACATGTACCAAACAATGTCAGTCTTAGCTATTAAATGAAATTTAAATCTGATGTTGTTTTCAAGCAGAGCAATCATAACGTTGGAGGGGGATATCAAAGGCGTCTTTTTAAAATATGTCCAACATGTAATTGTAGAACAATTATTTGTGATAATTTGCATATTTGAAAAAGGTGAAAAATCCTTGGGATACTTGACAGATATGTCGAATGTTGCCTTTATTCCGGGTTCGTCCCAACATGGAAACACTCTCCGTGCCTCGTTAAATTGTACGATGATTAACCTATCGTAAGAACGTATCATTCTAAAATTTTTCACTATTAACCTAAATGCCACGAATGTTATACATGTTTAAATATAATCTATGTGAATATTTTTAATGAATTGTATTTAATTCAATATGAATATTGTTTCCATATTGTTTCCACATAAAATTGTATAAAATTTGATTTATATATATACTGACGTATATCGTAAAAAAGATCGCTATACAAACGGAAATTATACAAATGCTTATGAGTTATAGTCATTTATATTTGATTTATATACCAAACTAGGGACTTCAACAAATTATATAAACCAATATAACAAGTAAGATATTGATCCAAATGAGTTCAATAGAATGGGATGTTTATTCTAAAATAGCAGTTAACAGTATATTTAATGATTCACTTAACATCTTACCATTTTTTGCTAAAGTTTGTTCCACTATTCTTGTACTCGTATTTAACTATACCTTTCCGAGTAGAAATAGGAAGGATGAAATCGATTATTAACCTATAAACTCCGATAGGTATAATTTTATTAAACTTCAAATCCAAAATCTGCGATCGTTTGCAATAACGGTAGCCAAACAAACTGTACGTGTCGAATGAGGAAGTATTTACTCTCTCCAGAATTATAGAAGCACTCTCAATACGCATTTTATAAACATGCAAGTTTATTGTTGTAGTTGGATTTTCAATAGTGACCATAATTTTAGCTGTACCGTGGACTATAGCATCTTGCTTATTTATTTCAAAAGATATGTTATATTTAGTTGGCCGTGATTTATTAACTGGTAAACGATCGTCAGGTGAAACATTCTTGCAATGTCGTTCTGTTATCCGAACAAATTGATCGTTATCAGCAGTAAAGGGCCGTGGATAGGCGGCGCACATCAAAATGTAGTTTAATAATAATAGTATCAGAGGTTCCATCTAAATATTTCGTAAAAATATGTATGGGCAAGTTATTTGCTAACAAAACGAAATATTGGTTAACATTAAGTTTTAATATTAAACCATTATTACTCAATATTGTGATTTACTGTTGATGCCCCAATAGAAGAATAGTAATAACAGATATAAATTAAATGTTTCTTACCTAAATAGATATATTCTCCGTATTTCTTATTTCCACTTCTAACTTCTACTTGTTTACTTTTATACTCAAAACAAATACAACTTGCGATATTATCTGCTTGCTATATAAAGAAAAGTAAACACAATACCAAGCAATAATAACAGTTAGGTTTTGGAAAACGCAGATTTGACGCACGATTGATTAAATACACAGAAATTTTCAACGAAACATCACATTTTGCATGCTATATACAGGATGTAATTGTAACACGCTAACTCCATAGGGGCATAGAGCTAAGCGAGAGGAACGAAAAATCCTCTTCCATTTAGCGATATCTCGCATCGTTTTTTAGTAATAACCGCGTAAAGATTGGCGTTTGTCATGCCCATCACGGTTCATAGACGTTCCACGGTGAGCTGTGTGCATCGAAGCTGAGCGGTCAGCGCGAGCCACGTTATGGGCCAGAGCACAGACTTCTGCATAACGCATAATACACAACGCATAAGAGAATCAACCAATCAGAGTTCTTCATTTCTGTCCTGAGGAGGGAAATGAAGAAAACTAATTGGTTGATTCTCTTATGCGTTGTGTATTATGCGTTATGCAGAAGTCTGTGCTCTGGTCCTATCGCTCAGCTTCGATGCACATATTATAGCTCGCCGCGGAGCGTCTATAGGCCGTGATGGGCATGGCAAACGCCAAGCTTTATGAGGTTATTACTAAAGTTCCTCTCGCTTAGCTCTACACCTCTATGGAGTTGGTGTGTTACAATTATGGGACGCTCTGTATATCTTCGGAAAATTCCCTGAATATAATATATTTATAAATTATTATAACATATCACGAAGATGGACAATAAGAATTACTTTACAAGCTACATTGCTTTTATAAAGTAAAACATTTTACTGATTTATTATATAGATATCGATTATAATATTAATAAATAAATGAACCTTTACATGATAAAATTCGATATAACAATATTAAAATTAATATTTTATAAAACAATAAATAAATGAAATTTAATAATTAAATATATATATAAAACATATCGAATATAAACTGATTTTATGCTCAGCAAATTAGGAAAATGTATGTTATTATCACTATTACTTAGCGTAAATCTAATAACGAAAGAATATATGTACTTACTCGTGAAAGCTACCTTTCCTACTCGGCGAATCGGAACACACTGATGGTTAAGATAACACATCGCGTTATTATAGTTAGGACACCGCTTGAATCAAAATGCGCATATATCGTGATACAAGGCTTTCACCGAGAAAAGAACAAATCGATTCGCATACTCTTGCGTTTTTCTTTGTTGAAATTCGTAAAAAATATGAATTTACAGATAAGAATCAGATATGCATCTTATCTTTTATCATTTTCGACTCTACTGAACTAAATACTTTTGAAAGTTATTTGGAGTCTTCCATCATGCTAAATATTATTTTTAATAATTAATTTTATATAACTGCAAAAGAACGGGACAATCAATTCATTTTGAACAAATTTTGAAGTTAATGTTACAACTGCTTCAAAAAATTTTACTTTTTCATCTTCCACATAATAATTTATAATCATGCCAGTTATTATAGTGGTTTTTGAACGCCGTATTAATTTCTCGCTACAAAAGTCTGAAGTATCTTGAATTATACTCGACATCCATACGAAATTGACTACCCATGAATTTTTCAATTTCTCGGGTCATGTAATACGAGTTAGCACTGATTACATGGTGCTGATTACCTACCGCAGTTTAGCTCGATAGTTTAATTCTACTAGTTAGTAGTCTGGTGGGCCTGATGGTGTGTTTATTACAGACAATAAATTATCTTTTGTTGGGGCTGCATAACTGGGAAGATATTATAGAATGGCAAGCGCGGTAAAATGCGGCTCGATTATCGAAAAATTTGTCTTCTCTTAAAACCTTTGAACCCACTCCAAAAAAGTTTACAAGGAATATGCTGGATTCGGTAGTATTGATGAATATTTAATTTTTGATCGATGAACATTTAATTTTTAATAATGAATATTTAATTTTTGGTTAGCCTCACCTATATACTCCCCTCGTGATGTAGATATGTCCTGGGACGACTGCCATCTTGTGAAAAAGTGAATTAGAATCAGTCTAGCTGTTCTACTTATACATATATATATATACCAGGTATGTCGGTAATTACTTTCCGGTTTTTGTAACAGATGTCACTAACCATAAGTATGCAATGTTATGATTTGATACATATATCATTTTATTCTACTGACATTAACCTCAAAACTACACAAATTACGTTCCGCCAAAATAACAGCGTTATAGATTTATAATTTTTTGAAAATGTCGAGTTTTGTGCCTGGAAACGTGCATTTGCGGCACGCATTACTTTTCTTGTTTAATCAAAAGAAAAAAGCCGCTGAAAATCATCGTTTGCTGGTAGAGACTTACGGTAAGCATGCTCCAACCATAAGAACATGTGAAACGTGGTTTCAACAATTCAAATGTAGTGATTTCAACGTTCAAGACAAAAACATCCTGGTAGGCCGAAAACGTTTGAAGATGCGGAATTGCAGGAGTTATTGGATGAAGACCCAACACAAACTCAAAAACAATTGGCAGAAAAGTTGAATGTGAGCCGAGTAATAATTTGTGAACGATTACAAGCGATGGGAAAGATCCAAAAGATGGGAAGATGAGTGCCACATGAATTGAATGACAGACAATTGGGAAATCGAAAAATCGTCAGTGAAATGCTGCTTCAAAGGTATGAAAGGAAGTCATTTCTGCATCGAATAGTAACGGGTGATGAAAAATGGATTTATTTCGAAAATCCCAAGCGAAAAAAATCATGGTTATCACCTGGCGAAGGCGGCCCATCGACTGCAAGGCCAAATCGCTTTGGTCGCAAGACCATGCTCTGTGTCTGGTGGGACCAGGTTGGTGTCGTATATTATGAACTGTTGAAACCTGGAGAAACAGTTAATACTGATCGCTACCAACAACAAATGATCAATTTGAACTGTGCATTGATCGAAAAACGTCCACAATACGCTCAAAGACATGATAAGGTGATTTTGCAGCATGACAACGCGCCGTCTCATACAGCAAAACCAGTCAAAGAAGTGTTGAAATCACTTGGATAGGAAGTTTTATCGCACCCGCTGTACTCTCCAGACCTGGCTCCATCCGACTACCACCTTTTCGCATCGATGGGGCACGCGCTTGCAGAGCAGTACTTCGCCGATTTCGAAGAAGTTAAAAAATGGCTCGATGAATGGTTTAGCTTAAAGGAGAAACAGTTCTTTTGGAATGGCATCCATAAATTGCCTGAGAGATGGGCAAAATGTATAGAATCAAATGGCCAATACTTTGAATAAATATATTTTAACTATCCATTGTAAATAACGTGTTTTCTTCAGCGAAAAAACCGGAAAGGAATTACCGACATACCTGGTATATGAATATATTGAGTCAAATCCACCCGCCTTGTTTCTAAGTGGCTGCTATTTGAACAGCATTAACCTGATTGGATTTAAAAAATTATGGAATATACTTTGAACATTTTAGAAATATAGACCAACAGCCGTTTATATTAAAATATGAAATGTTAATATATTATTAATTACTTAATATATTATATACATAATATATTATTATAAAATAGAAAAAAAATTGTAAATATACAAGTGTGAAAAGAATCAATTTTCATTATAAAAATCATAACCTTTTTATGTTTTGAAATTTTATGATAAAATTTATGTTCCGTATTTATGAAATATAGTGCATTCAGGAAATTATTAGTTTTATAATGCGCGTAATTAAAGAGTTTTCACATTCGGTACTTACGTTCACGTATATGTTAAAACATCAGTTGCCACTAGATTATTGTCGCTTTTATTTCGAATAATGGTAGTATCTACCGAAATGGGGAATCTCGACTTTTCAGTAAGCGTAGCGAAAAATCACATTGCAAGCTGGAAAGTTATAGGTGGCTTCAAATTTGAAGTATGAAGTCAAACTATGATCAGGAGGATTAAAATACGGTGAAACCGATATCAGGACCGTTACGACGTTAAAATTGTCTAAAGTCTTATTACTATTGTTTAAAAGTCTTGTTACTATTGTCTGAAAGTCACCCTTGGAGATGCCTAAAATACCCAATATCTTTTGAGCAATTTAGCATTTAGAGGTGTCTAAAATGTATATTAGTTATCCACACTGTTTTTATAGTTTATCTTCTACCTAAGTTATCAACATTGTTTTTATAGCTTACTTTTTGCTATTCGTGTCCGTTTCCTCCTCCTCTCTCGCTCACTTTCTCTCTCTCTCTTTCTTTCTCCCTCTCTCGCGAGCGTGCACACCTTTCATCTTATCTATCTCAAATATTACTAGCATGTGACTATAATATTACAAGTGGCAAAGTGTGTATTAGGTTAATCGGAAAGTTTCGACCGCTTTTTTGCAAAACGTATGGCTTTATTTAAGAAACAAAATGAAAAAGTATACCAATCAAAATATTGTTCATCGTTAGCGATGACTTTTTTCCATCTTCCGGTCAGCAAACGAATTCCGCGGCAAAAAAATGACTCATCTTTGGAGGCTATCCAGTCAGAGACTTATTTTCCGACGTCTTCATAAGAATTGAAGCATTCGTCAGCAAGTGCATGTGCCATCGTCCGAAACAAGTGGTAGTCGGAAGGGGCACAGTCTGGTGAATAAGCCGCATGAGGTAACACTTCCCAACGAAGTGCTTTTAACGTTTCCTTGATAGATTTTGTGGCGTGAGGCCGAGCGTTGCCATGAAGCAAAATCACTTTATGCTGTCTCGTTTCATATTCTAGTCGTTTTTCATGCAATGCTCGGTTCAAACGGGTCATTTGTTCTCTGTAGAAATCCCCTATAACTATTCGACCACTTTTCAACAGCTCATGGTACAGCACATCCTTCTGATCCCACCAAATAGCATTGCCTTCTTTCTTTGAATATTCTGCTTTGGCGTCGATGTTAAGGGTTGGCCGGGATCGCAAATAGTTTTTCAACGTTTGGGGTTGTCAAAATAAATCCATTTTTCATCCCCAGTGATGATACGATGTAAAAACCCCTTTCTTTGTTGCCTAGCAAGCAGAATTCCGCAGGTGGGTTTTCGCCTTTCAATGTCTCTCGGCTTCAATTCAAATGAGATTTATTTTTCTTCCTTGTAAACCTTTCCTAAGGCTTTCAAACGATCGGAAATGACAGATTGAATTTAATGCTTCTGCAAGTTGCTTTTGCGTTTGACATGGGTCTTCGTCCACCAATGCCTGCAATTCTTCAAATACTCTTGGCCGTCTTTGAGAACGCTCTTTGTCCTCTATATAAAAATCACCATTTTTAAAGCGTCGAAACCATTCTCTGCATGTTTTATCGGAAGGAGCATTATCACCATAAACTTCTACAAGCATTCGATGAGCTTCAGCTGCAGTTTTTTTCCAAATGGAACAAAAGATTAACACTTCGCGCAAATGATGCTTATTTGGCTCAAATTTCGACATTTTTTATGTAGTAAAATACAATGTTATTGATGCAAACGTATACCTTTATGTACTGAATGTTATTGACAGATGTCAAAACAAACCGTTAAGCATCGTTTAGACATTAGAGGTTAACGACAGTTCTAGCTATAGCTACTTGCCGCTAGATGAACGAAACTTTCCGATTTACCTAATATTATTAATTTGACAGACACGTCCAAGATAACAAGTGGAGTTAGTCTTAAAAAAACTATTAAGTTTACTTTATAGAGAGAAAATATAACATTATATTATTTATAGCACAATACCAGTAATTATCTATATAATTTACATACAAGAACGGAACTAATTGCAGTATAATATTGGGTCTGAGAAAAAGTTCGTGGCGTTTTTCCCGATAGATGGCGTCAATTGTAAATAACTCAGGAAACACAGATCGCAGCGACACCACTAAATGCTCGTTGGAAAGGTGACACTTCGAGCATTACTTTGAGTGTATAAACATCGAAATTGGTGCAGTGGTTGGAAAGTTGTTTGCGTTTGAAAATGGAGAAAAGTAATGAAAAATTACGTTATATTTTGCAATATTATTACGACAAAGGGAAAAACGCTGCGCAGGCTTGTGAAAAAATTTGTGCTGTGTACGGTGAAGGTACTTTATCAAAATCTGCTGCGCGGAAATGGTTCGCTCGCTTTCGCTCTGGTAATTTTGATATGAAAGATGAGTCACGCTCTGGTCGTCCAATCACTGAAAAAGTTGATGAAATTCTTGAAAAAGTCCAGCAAGATAAGCATGTCAGCAGTGTCGATATTAGTATGGAGCTAGGCATTGACCACAAAACTGTTTTGAACCATTTA